GGCTGAGGCAGGAGACTCGCTTGAGCCCAGGAGTTGGAGGTTGCTGTGAGCTGTGATGCCATAGCACTCTACCCAGGGGGACAGCTTGAGGGTCTGTCTCAAAAAAAAAAAAGAAAGAAAGAAAGAAAGAAAGAAATGAGATTCAAACCCTGATCTACAAAATCCCAGAGACTGCACTCTTACACACTAGGACTGCCCCTCCGCTCCCCCAAGAGCATCACCTTCCAAACCTTCAGCTGAGATTTCACTCCTTCACCAATTCATCTGTTCAGAAATACTTTCTGGGTGTCTATCATGGGCCAGGATGCTGGAGACACAGCAGTGAATAAGGCAAACATGTCCTCAGGCCTCATGGAGCTCACATGCTGGTATAGGGTGGGACTACTTTTTGAAGCACTTCAGAATCCTATGGGGTAGTGTCCAGAGAGTTAAGGAGAGTGATCAGATAGGAAGTCCCAGTTGGGAGACAGGGGAGGAAGTGTACTGGACTAGAAGGTGGGAAATGGAACTCTGCACCAGCTTACTGTATCTTTGAGAAAGTTTTCTCCTCTTTCCTAGACTTTGGTTTACCAACTAGTATGAGAAAACTGGACCAATTTTTCTGGTCATTGACTGTGAAGGGAGGTTCCAGAGAGGATCCAAGAAGTAGCAGCATTATTGGAATAAACATCCATCCTTTCCATCTGTAGGCTACCCTGATGTCAGAACAGCTGAATCTGACAGAATTTGGTGGGTTTTGACTACTGGGCTTTCACCCAGTAGTGCCCTCCCTTGGCTGACCTGGAAAGTATTAAATATCAAATCTTCAGGCCTCACCTCAGACCTAATAAATAAGAAGCTCTAAAAGTAAGGCTCTAGAATCTATATTTTTAATCACACTTGAGCAAGTTCTTACCCACCAATCTATGCACCATCCAGCTTTTGTGATCCTATTGCATAGCCAAACATCCATAAATATTTGTGCAATGAATGACCTCCTGAAGGCCAGCCTCCTGTTCTCACTTCTTTCTTATCCTTTTTCCTCTTAATTTTGAATTGCAGAAGGCAATCCAAAGAACTTTATGGGAAGGCCAAACCCTCCTCAGAAACTAGGAGAAGGAGCTGAACAAGCCAAGCCAGATCCTCCTTAGCAGGAAAGAGAACCAAGTAACTGTTTTCTCTCCAATGCCCTGCCTGCAGAAGTATCAATGCATGAGAGAATGCAGTGAGATAGTGTCATTAACCCAGTTTTCCAAGCAGAGAAACTGAAGTTCAGAGAAGATAGAGGAGATTCCCAAGGTGACACAGGCAATTAGGCAGAATTTGTCCCCCAGATCTGTTCAAAGTATAAACCTCAGCTCCATCACATTTTTTAGACCATCCCAGCTCCATCTTTCTCAGCAAAGACTTAGGAACCCTCTGAGGATGGGCCTTGGGTCCCTCCCCCACAGGATAAAAACTGGAGCCAGGAGTCCCGCCTGGAAGTAGGCAGCGCCTATGTCATCGTGTACTCCATCGCTGATCGAGGCAGCTTTGAGAGCGCCTCTGAGCTCCGCATTCAGCTGCGGCGCACACATCAGGCAGATCACGTGCCCATCATCCTCGTAGGCAACAAAGCAGACCTAGCCCGCTGCCGGGAAGTCTCCGTGGAAGGTGAGCCCTCCTCTCCACCTCCTCCTCTGGGCCCCTGTGTCACCACTGCCCTCCAATGTGCTTCTTCTCAGTGTCTGCCCCTGCCAATCAGCCCCCGCCCTGCAGCTATTTGCTTAAGCCTGAAAGCCTGGAGCCATGCTTGCCTCCCCTCTCACACCCACTTCCTGAAAACTGGTCCCCAGGTCCAAGCAGGCCTACCTCCATTGATCCCACATCCAGTCTCTCCATGCCCACAGCCTCTGCACTACCCAGGCACTTCCACTGATAAGTACTCCAATCAGCCCCTTTGCAGCTGCCAGTGTTCCAGAACCAGAGCTGCCCTGTCACTTCTCTGCTTTAAAATTCCACTATGGCTCCCTTAATGCACCCTTAATCAGGGACACTTTATCCCGCAGATACATGTACCTAGTATGATAGGCCCAGTGCCTACAGGTTTTCAAGGGCTTACATTTGAGAAGTGAAAGACCATTATTGGCCCCAAAATACAGTGAAAATATTAGAAATTCAAATTTCAGAAAGCTTTGTCTACAGAACATAATATTGTGTCAGCCAGCAAGTACAAACCAAACTTCTAATGTCATATATAAATTATTTTCACAATGGGATGGGCAATATTTTAATAAGCTTAACATCAGATGAAGCCTGTAACGATCTTAAAATGGTGCTACTCACAAAGTAAAAACTTTAAAATATGGAAACTGAGAGCCAGAGAGGGAAAGCCAGTTCCACAGCGTCACTGTGGACTAGAACTCAGACCCAGTGACATCCTGAAGGTGAAGATGGCATGCTTTGTGGCCATCCCAAAGCTGTAACACAATCCCTGGGAGATTTTGTTAAAACATAGATTTCTAGACCTCATCTCAAACCTGGAGAATTCTTGGGCGGTTGGACCCAGGAATTTCTATTTTAACATGCTCCTCGAGGTAATTCTGATGCATCTTTTAGCTGCATCTAATTCCGATTAGACCTGTTGGCCAGCATTCAGCCTGGCCCCTACCAGGTCCCAGCTTCCCCTGTCTTTCCAGCCTTGTTCTGCTACCAGTCAGTATCAGCCTGTAAACTAATTCCTTCAAGCCCAGTCTGATCTGTGTCTGAGTCCCCCGACACCAGCACCAGGTGTATGTACAGGAAAAGGTGCTTCTCCTGAGACTGAACACTCGTGTTCCTACCTTTATCTCCGCCTTCCTGTTATGGCCCCACCCCGGCTCGCCTGACCCCGCCCCCTCAGAGGGCCGCGCCTGCGCCGTCGTGTTCGACTGTAAATTCATCGAGACGTCGGCCGCACTGCAGCACAACGTGGCAGAGCTCTTCGAGGGAGTGGTGCGCCAACTGCGCCTGCGCCGCCGGTACAGCTCAGCCCGAGAGCCACCTGCACCCCGACGGCCGGTCAGCCTTGGCCAGCGCGCCCGCCGCTTCCTTGACCGTCTGACTGCCCGTAGCGCCCGTCGCCGGGCACTTAAGGCCCGCTCCAAGTCTTGTCACAACCTGGCGGTGCTCTGAGGCCATTTGCTCTTCTGAAGGTGGCGGATCACTGGAGGTGCATTCTGGGCTCTACTGACACCACCGAGGGGCAAAAGTGCCATTACCTGGAGCCGGCATTGTGGGCCTTGCTTGCCCACTGCGCTGATAAAGGGATCATCACCCATGGCCAGAGCCTCAGCGACCCCTCTCCTGCCTGTCCCTCCAGCCTTGGGGAAGTGATGGACAGATTATAGGGCCGAAACCCCAAGCTGAGCACAAAGTAGGGTTTTTTACGTGGATATCTTTTAGTAAAGATATCCGTGGGGTTTGGCGAACCCCAGTCTGAATGCCCAGACCTCTCTGGGACTCTTCCAAGATCTCCACCTCCTGCCTCCCCATCTAGACTGGCTGCAGACTGGTTTAGCCTGCTGGCCTAGGTGTCAGGGCCAATCAATAAAGTAATTGTACCATTTTTGTTCTCAGGCTCCTCTCCCAATCACTGGTTCCAGTTCCTGACCCAGGTCTTTGAGACAGTGGATCACAAACAACCCATTTGGTGTGATGACCCGCTATTTTCTTATTAACTCATTTTCTAGATTATAGATTCACAAAATATCTGGAAGGAATCTCAGCACTCAGCACTGGCAATATAATTGCTGGGGTTTGTTAGGAGCTGACTATGTACTAAGCTGGGAGGAAAAAGGAGGGTGCTCCCATTAACCCCATGTTACCAATTAGGAAACTGAGGCACAGAACAGTGAAAGCTTATGCCCAAGATGTTACAAAATGCTATAGACCTAAGGGAAATGAACCTAAAAACATAATTTGACATACAATTAAAAAGAGGGAGCATAACTCTATAAATCCCCAAGATGAGCCCAAATTTAGTCCAAATATGGAAACTTGTTTTCCAAATATGGAAACTGAAACCTAAAGAGGGGAAGTGAGCACCCCAAGGCCACCCAGCCAGTGAGGACTAGACCCCACGGCCAATCCTCCTCCTGGGTCTCTTCTTTGCAGGAAGAAGGAAAGAGTGAGGTGTCCAGCCTGACTGGGGGGAGGGCTGGGTGTTGGGGATCAGATCAGGAGTTTCCTGCCTGAAAAGAAGGGATGTCACTACTTTGAGAGGAGACTTGACCATTTGGACGATGATGTCCCTGACGCCTGACACCCCTGCCCCCAAGCAGCTGCCCACCCACTCCTGCCCAGATGCCTCCGTGGTCGTGCAGAGAAGACTCCCCTCAGGAGGGACACCTCTATCCTCCAGCTGTGACTTCCCCCACCCCAGTCTGGCCAGCAGAGCCAGAAAGATGGCACTTCTTTCTCCATCCCAACCCCAGCCCAGGGAAGGGAGGAGAAGGAAGGTCTTTCCCCCACCCCAAGTTGTCTCTGGCCTGCGGTCGAGGGGAGGGGCTGTATCTGTGGAAAGTTGGCAGAGGCAGCCTGCAGCAGCCAGGAGAGTGGAAAAAATGATATCAAACCCGGAAAAATGCAGGCCGGATGGAGGGCTGAAGTCGGCCCTGGGAGGTGAGAAGGAGGGAGAAAAGGGGGGGAGGGGAGGTACAGGCAAAGTAAAGGAAGAGGGGCCAGGGAAAGAGTACAGGAGCTGGTCTTAGAAAACTGAAGACAGTCACCATCGTTCCCTCCTTTCTCCATCTACAAATATTTACTGAGGGCCTGCTAAGTGCAGGGCACTGTGCCAGGCTCTGGGGAGATGTGGCGAACAGAAGGGTACTGGCTGCTCCTGGTAGCACACAGCCTGGTTGGGGAAGCAGACTGGAAAACAAATCAGTGAATAAAATAATTACAGACTAAGAAGGGGTGGGCAAGGAAAGCTCTGAAAATAATCCAATCCAATCCCCTTCAATTCACTGATGGGGACACCAAGGGCCAGAGAGAGTTTGCCCCAGGCTGCTCAGAAGGTAGAGGAAATAGTTGGGTCTAGGATTGGGGAGGAAGAAGGGAGGAAAGAAAGCAAGAACTAGTGCAGACCTGGATTCAGGGAAGAGCTGGTATGGCAGCACAGCAAAGGGGTGAGGGCCTGGGCCCTGAGCAGGGAAGTCTGTGTTCAAACCCTGCACCATCTCTCTGTGCCTTAGTTTCCCATCTTTATTTTTTTGTTTTTGTTTTGAGACAGAGTCTCACTATGTCGCCCTTGGTAGAGTGCCGTGACGCCACAGCTCACAGCAACCTCAAACTCTTGGGCTCAAGCGATTCTCTTACCTCAGCCTCCCAAGTAGCTGGGACTACAAGCGCCCACCACAATGCCCGGGTATTTTTTGTTATAGTTGTCATTGTTGGTTAGTTGGCCTGGGCCAGGTTCAAACCCGCCACCTTCAGTGTATGTGGCTGAAACCCTAACCACTGTATTACAGGCGGGGAGACTAGCATCCCTATCTTTAAAATAGGATTCATGGCAGTTCCCTTCCTCAGGGTTGATGTGAAGATTAAATTATTTAAGAAGTATAGGGCCAGGCGCAGTGGCTCACGCCTGTAATCCCAGCACTTGGGAGGCCAAGGTGGGTGGATTGCCTGAGCTCACAGGTTCGAGACCAGCCTGAGCCAGAGCAAGACCTCATCTCTAAAAATAACTGGGGCGTTGTGGCGGGCACCTGTCATCCCAGCTACTTGGGAGGCTGAGGCAAACGAATCGCTTAAGCCCAAGAGTTTGAGGTTGCTGTGAGCTGTGATGCCACAACATTTTACCAAGGGCTACAAAGCAAGACTCTGTCTCAAAAAAAAAAAAAGAAGAAAAAGTATAAAGTGCTTAAGACAGTTCTTGTGTCTAGGAAGATGCAATAAATGTTGGTTCCCACTATCGTATCTTAGGGGAAACCAGGGTTCATTAATCTGGAGACTGTGGAGGCCTGCTTGGGAGTCTTTGCCTGGCTATGCCACTGACAACTTTAGAAAAATCTCTTTCCCTCTTGAGCCTCAGTTTCTCCAACTATAAAACAAAGGGATTGACTCAGAAAAAGTTCACATATTTACATACTCGTGTGTTTATTGTCTGTCTCCCCCACAGGATTCAGGAAAGCTCCGTGAGGACAGGACCTTCAGTGCTGCTCTGTCCCCAGCACCTGCAAGAACAGTTGGCTCATGATAGATGTTCAGCAAGGCCCAGGCAGTGCAGTGGCTCACGTCTATAATCCTAGCACTCTGGGAGGCCAAGGAGGGTGGATTGCTTGAGCTCAGGAGTTCCAAACCAGCCTAAGCAAGAGACCCTATCTCTACCAAAAATAGAAAAATTAGCCAAGTGCTGTGTGCCTGTAGTCCCTACTTGGGAGGCTGAGGCAGGAGGATCACTTGAACCCAGGAGTTTGAGGTTGCTGTGAGCTCTAACGCTATAGCACTCTACTGAGGGTGACAAAATGAGACTCTGTCTCAAAAAAAAAAAAAAAAAAAAGGTGCTCAGCAAATATTTGTTACATGGATTAATTAACCGACCTGGAAAGTGGCCCTTCCAATCCTTACCTCTGTGATTCTAAGTGTCTTTGGATAAGAAATGGATGGGAAAACATGAGAAAACTACAGTCTCCTTCTCAGGGACACAGCCTATTATAGTTCAGGAAGTTCTTTCTCACCCATTAGGAAAAAAAAAAAGCTAGATTTGTTTTAACTCTTTCTGTGTGTTTGTGTTGGGCCTTATGCTCCATACTTTATGCACATTTTCCCATTGCCCTATCACCACAACCCTCTGCTTTATAAGTATCATTTAATAGATGAGCACATTGAGGCTAAGAGAACACAAAAAATTTGTCCAAGTCACACAGCAAGCGCCACATTCAGACCAGTAGTGGAGAGTCAGATCTTCTTTCTTTCTTTCTTTTTTCTTTATTTTTTTGTGAACAGGGGTAAGTCAGGAGATGGGGAATGGCCTGGGACCCTAGCACAGCATTTGGTCTACTAACCATCCTCCTTTCCCTGTCCCCACCCCGAGAACTGCTATCTTAACTGTACAATTGGGGAAACTGAGGCCTGCACAGAGAGGATGAATTACCCAAGCACAAGGTCATGTAATAATCACAGCAAAATAGTTACATCACTCTTGCTATGTACCAGAGATGCTGTTGCAAGCGTTTTTCATATGTTAATTCATTGAATCTTCCAAACTGATAATATTGTCATCACTACATCAGTTCTCAGACGGAGAAACTGTAGCACAGAGAGGTTCAGCGCCCTGCTGAGGACGCACAGTTACCAAATAGCAGAGGCAGCACTCCAGCAAGTCTAGCCCCACAGTGCTAAGTGCTCCTCTGTATTACCCCATTTGTTGCCACAGCAAGCCAGGAGCAGGCTGGTCTGAAAGGGAAGGTGTCTTTATCCTGTGCCCAGCTGCCTGGGCTGGGGGCAGGGCAGAAAACAAAAGCACATTGAGAGTGTCCTCGGCTGCCAGCTGGGACTTTCCACCTTGAAGGGAGGATACTGTTATGGAAAAAATGATAAAGCTCTAGAAAGATGAATATCTCCCCAGGGGCCCCCAAGTCTCCTCAGAATCTCTCCTCCTGCTGTGGAGGAAGGCCACAAACCAGGCTGGCCTGGCCCACATGAGACGAAGGCCACCTGGATCCCAAGACACCCAGCCAGGCTACTCAAATACTGAGCATCGCTGGCCTTAGTGGAAAGTTCCAGTTCCTCAGCCAGGGCACAAAGTTTCCACTCAGGGACCCCCAAGTAACCAGGTTCAGGCTAAGCTCCCTGTCCTTAGATGATGGAAAATACACATCTCACAGGGCCCGGCTTCTTCCTTCCTTCCTTCAGAAACATCCACAAGGGTGTAGGCTCTGAAGGAAGGAGGAATGTAGAGAGGGTCTCAGCTGGCAGATACAGAAACTTCCAAGGTTCTGTCCCAGCCAAGAAGGGAAAGGTAGGGTAAATAAGGGGTGGGGGTTGTAGAAAATTCATCTACAACTGCTTGAGAATGACAGAGAATCCCATAAGTCTGTCATGACCATGTGGGACATTAGGCAAATCAAAATACACAGACTAAAGAGATTAGGGCAGAATTCTCTATGTGATTGTCTCTGTCTCAAGACTATTTAAATGTTCTAGTTCAACAGCTTGAAAAAATATACAAGTTCAGTTTCAATTTGAGCACTGTTCCCTTCTGTTCAGTTCAGGGTTCAGTTAAAAATAATACTAATGATGGGATGGGAGCTCTGGGTGCAGCAATGAGCGCAGTTTTCCCCAGTTCCATCTGGTTTAAGTTCAAGGCTGGGGGGGGTGTGACTGCTGTGGCTTACATTCCCATGCTTCACAGATATGACAAGATATTAGTGGGAAAG